TACTGTCCAGTCGAGATACTCTACTGACAGTAGAGAGAGTTTTACTATTCAAATATACCGAACAATATAGTACGTCTACTGCACAGTCGAGCTCATAATAAATTTAATTAATAAGGTATTTTAATTCATTGAAAAACTTTTGCACCTTGATTACTAGTGCTTACATTTAAAATAACAAAGTTATTTACTTCGTTTACCAAGTTAGAATTTTCAAAATTTCACCTTAGTTGTTGGTGTGTTGATGGATAACTTTGATTAAAATAGCTTACTAAAGTAGGGAGAAACAATGAGCCCCTAAGTAGTGGCGCATTAAGTTGGGTTTTTTTTTAAATGTAATTTCATCAATTTGGTGTGAATGATCAATGCGACCAATTAATTAGCAATATTATGCAAGAAAAATTATACTTAATCAAGTATTTTAACTATAAAAAAAATAAGTAAAAATCTACTCTACTGTCTAGTCGAGATACTCTACAGAGTAGTAGAGCACTTTACTACTTGAATCTACTAAACAGCAGAGTACGTCTACCGCACAGTCGAGCCCATTATAAATTTAATTAATAATGTATTTTAATTCATTCAAAAATATTTTGCACCTAAATTACTAGTGCTTACATTTAAAACAAAAAAGTTATTTATTTCATTTACCAAGTTAGAATTTTTGAAGTTTCATCTTAGTTTTTAGTGTCTTGATGGATAACTTTGATTAACATAGGCCTTGTTCATTTCGCTCATTTGAGTTGATAACTTGAGCTAAAAAGTGGCTTCATGTGAGAGAAAACATTATAATAACAAAAGTTAAATTTAATTTTTTGTGAGAAAAAACATTATAGCAAAAATTTGAGTCGTAATTTGAACTAACGAAGAGCTTACTAAAGTGAGGAGAAACAATGACCCCCATAAGTAGTAGCGCATTAAGTTTGTTTTTTTTTTTTTAAAGTAATTTTATCAATTTGGTGCGAATGATCAATGCGACTAATTAATTAGCAATATTATGCAAGAAAATTAAATTTAACCAATTTTTTAACTAAAAAAACAAGTGAAAATCCACTATATTGTGTCGAGATACTCTACCGAGTAGTAGATAGCTTTACTACTCAAATTACTGAATAGTTAAGTATGTCTACCGCACAGTCGAGCTCATTATAAATTTAATTAATAAGGTATTTTAATTTATTAAAAAGCATTTTGCACCTTAATTACTAGTGCTTATATTTAAAATTATATTTAATCAAGGTTTTCAATAAAAATTCCGTTTAATGGTTTTTAAATATAAACATTGAAGTGAAAATGGAGTCTGTGCAGTAAAGGCTTTCCACCAAGCAGTATAGACTTGTTTACATCCTCTGCGCATGCTAGTCAGAAATTCATAATAACTAATCAACATTGCTCATAAAGAATTCACATAATTTATATCCTCAAAACTGTTTATATCCTCAAAATATAAATATTTCTTAAGGGTCCCAATCATTAAAAAAAAAATGTCAATGGCCATTTTTTGTCTGAAGCAGAGTCCAATTCGATATATTTGATTGCATATATTGCACAGTCTTCACTGTTTAACATTTACTTAGTAATTGCAATAACCAATAAATAGTGAATATTTATCTTGTTATTTTAAAACTATAAACTTAAGAGACGTTTGGTTAATAGATTAGAATCATGAGATTAGAACCATTTTTGATTCATGTGTATTTTTTGTGAGAGAAAACACTGTAACGAACCATAAACTATGATTCAAATTATGGTTTGAATCCTCCAACCAAACGTCTCCTTACATGTTGTTCTGAGGCACGCCTTGAGCTCGGGAAACATGTTATCGCCATCATGGTGCAAAGCGGTTCCATATCATCTAAAATGACGGGTGCGTTTAGAACTCGTTCTAAAATAATTTTATTTTTTGTATGAAAATAAAAATAAAATCGTTTTTAATTTCAGACAGAAATTATTTTTAAAAATACGTTTGGTAGTTTTATCAAGAGATTGTTTTCAGTATAAGAAAATCTATTAATGTCTTTCTCTCTCTTTACTCGAGAGATGATAAAACGGAAACAAAAAATGAAAATGACTAAAAGTCATTTTTTATTTTTCTCACATTTAATACTAAACTAAAAAATCATTCTCATTTTCATTTTTTGTCTTTAATTGTGCCAAACACCGTTTCTCTCCCATTTTCATTTTTCTCTCTCGAAAAACATAAAAAACAAAAACAAAAATAAAAACAACTCCAAACACAACCGACAACTTCTTGATTGAAAAGTGCCTCTTCCTCAGTTTGAATAGGGCCTCATCAATATTCTGTGATCATAGAACAAAGAAGATACTATTAATTTTCAAATAAAAATATCAAAGAAATTAGGGATGTGTTTGGAATTAATCTCGTTTTTATTTTTCACAATTTTTGAGAAAGAAAAAATGAACACGTTTCTAAAAAGGCGTTTGACACAATAAAGATAAAAAAGGGAAATGAAAACGATTGTTTGGTTTAGTGTAAAATGAGAGAGAAATGAAAAACGACTTTTAGTCGTTTTTCATTTTTTGTTTTCGTTTTCTCATCTTTTGAGCAGAGAGAGAAACAGAGACATTAATGAGTTTTTTTACACTGAAAATAATCTCTTGATAAAACTACCAAACACGTTTTTAAGAATAATTTCTGTTTGTGATTAAAAACGTTTTTATTTTCATACATAAAATAAAATCATATTAGAACGAGTTCTAAACGCACCTTAATTTTGTGTAACTTTAATATGTTTACATACCTCACAAGTCAACCATGTACCAGTCTGCGCGATTTCCTTGAAGAAGCGATGATCCGTCTCATTAAACGACACTGAATCGGATTATTGTCGTATAGATTGCTCATGAATTCTACGAAGGATGCTTTCTTGCCATCGGTAGGGAACAAAGTAGAGCTCGTTGAAAAACGGTAGAGAACAATTTAGACATGCTTATTTATTAGAGCAGATTTCTATATGAAAAAAATACCTCTCTCGCCACCTCCCCTTCTTCCTCCGGCCGTTGTTGCCACCATGTTTCCTCCATTGAGAATTGATGCTCCCATCGGTAGCGTTTCATCATGCCTCGAAAGAGCGTCGGATGTTGCCTTATTAGACTCACTTGTTCAGCTTGTTTAAGCTTCCTCCCTCTCGTCCGTGGCATTTAGTTGAAAAGAACATCCTTTTTCTCCATTAAAACTAACAAATTTTAATAGCACAAACAAGCGAATCTGAGCAAATTTTTTGTTTATACATACAAAGCATGTGTAAATATCATTCACAGACTTAATAAAAAAAAATTCAAGATAATCAAATTAATACCAATGCCTTTTCCTCTATAGAATTGATCACAACCAGCATGACATACATACATATATAAACTGATTAGAAATATGTGCTACTTAATCATTCTTCGTCTTTTGTTTTGTTTTTTGTTTTTTGTTTTTTGTGTCTTTCCACATTTTTGCAACATCAAGATGTTGTTGTTTCTTTCTCCAAACTTTCTTTTTTCTTCAAACTTTCTGTTAGAATTTCCTACATTCCCAGGCTGATTTATTTTTCTTTAATATGTGAACCTTTTTGAGATAGTCCCTGAAAGCCATCTGTAAAGCTATGATTTTCTGGACTCAAATTATGGAGTTCGTATAAACTCGAAAGCTGTGGAACTTTTACACTCGGACATAATAAATATGTTCTTTTATACATGCTTACTTTGCATGATCATGAGTATTAATGTTTGAACTAATGAAGTAAAGCAAATGTTTGTTTGCCTCTCTCTCTCTTCTTCTCCTCTTTTTTTTTTTTATTTTTTTATAAATATATGGTTTGTTTTGGTATCATAACTGTGCAGTAGTTTTTCAAGTGTTTTGAAAAGGAGAGGGAAATGGGAAGGGCAAGGCACACAAGAGAAGATGACAATGACCGTGAAAAGTTGAATGTGGGGCAAAGAACTACATGCCTCCAGATCCAGCGACTCCGCCGCAAGCCCTTCTCAACGCCGCGCAATTGCCACAAGTCTCCACTACCCCTTGCGATCCTCACCGGCCTGCCAGCCCTCTCTCAAATAGTTGCCTCACGAGCTCGCTGACCCTTGACAAATCCAGCCTAACTGCGATCCGAGATTCGCCGCCAAAGGCACTTTTGCTGATCTTCATTGGCTATTAAGAAAATGTTTGATTGGTGTATTCGTGTCACGATTTAAATTATAATTTGTGATTTGTTACAGTATTTTTTCTCATAAAAAATACACGTAAATAAAAAATAATTTTAAATTATGATTCTAAATTCATGAACTAAATGTCTACTAAATATTACCTTAACTGATCACGTGAATTTATATTTATACATAAAAATTTTAAAAAAACTATTACATGCTAAATTCTATCAGCAAATTCAGGTGCTACAGGTAACAAATTAAAGACTAAGAGGACGTTTGGTTGATGGATTCAGAATCATGATTCAGAATCATTCTCAATTTACGTGTATTTTTATGAGAGAAAATATTGTAGCGAGCCACGAACCATGATTCGAACCATGACACGAATACTTGAACCAAACGCACTCTAAAGTTATAGGAGAGTAAAGTTAGGGGGTACCAATTAAGGGCCCGTTTAGTTTGCTGATTCAAGTTTTTAATTCGAGTTGATATGTGACTTTATGTGAGAGCTTTTTACTGTAACAAAAAAGTTAAATGTGACTATTTATGAAAATTTTTTACTGTAACAAAACTCAAATTTTAACTCGAATTAATGAGATGAACAGAAAGCAAGAAAGAAAGCAAACCAAACGGTGAGGACTCCCTCATCCAATCCCCTCCATAACGGGCCTATCAATTTCTCACCAATCTCAACTTTCAGATAGATCAGCGAAGCGAGATGCACTTATCAGTTATCGACAGAGAACGGGCCCACTTCCCTCATACAAAATCAGAGATCGGAAATGCTCAACCTAAAGATGACCGGATACGATCATCCACACCGAATCGGGTTCCAAAGTCCCGATCCGACTCAGATTTATGCATTACTTAACGGGACCGTCACAAACCGTCACGGCCCATCTCCCCCAAACCTTTCACGGCACTCTGGTTCCGTTAAACCTCCTTGTCTCAGGCTCAGCGTCAAGTCTCAGATCAGACGACGTCCCGTCCCTAACGTCGTCGTTCCGTCCTAACCCTAACGTCCTCTCTCTCTCTAACTCCCCTAATGGCTTCCTGTGACGACGATTTCTCTCTCCTCGGTGACGATTCCTCCTCCAACCACAACCACAACCACAACCACCACCTCGACCAGACCTACACTCCGGCGCCACCTCTCCACCGATTCGCGTCCGGACGGGCGGCGAATGTCCACGCGCCTCCGCCGCCAAATCAGCCGATCCTCAACGCCGCGGCGTCGAGCCCGGAGAAGGTTGGCCCCGGAGAGGATCAGGGAGACGGTGAGGACTACGGAGAGGCGGCGGCGGCGGCGGCTTTCTGTTCGAATCCGTTCGATAATGATGGAGATCAGAACGGCGTTGTAGATGCGCGGAGCGAGAAGAGGAAGGACCATCGCGAAGATCTCAGCGATGGAGGAGGAGGTAGATCTGGATCTCCGTACGGTAGTTACAAGAAATCGAAGCCGTCGTCGGGTTCCGGCGGAGGAGAGTACAGGAAGGATCGGGAGGAATGGAGCGACGCGGCGATCTCGTGCCTACTCGACGCGTACACGGAGAAGTTCACGCAGCTGAATCGGGGGAATCTGAGGGGGAGGGATTGGGAGGAGGTGGCGGCGGTCGTGAGCGAGCGGTGCGAGAGGCAGACGAAGAGCGTGGAGCAGTGCAAGAACAAAGTCGATAATTTGAAGAAGCGGTACAAGTTGGAGAGGCATCGGATGAACAATGGCGGCATATCGGCCAGCCATTGGCCTTGGTTCAAGAAGATGGAGCAGATTGTTGGCAATTCCTTGCCGATAAAGGTCGCTTCCGACGAGGACAAAGGCGCCGGGTCCTCGGGGAATACGCCCCGGCAATCGAAGAGGTTTGTCATCCATTTATGCAGTTTGAAATTGAAATTTTTTGCATTTCTATAAATTTCGAATTGATATTAGCTTTTTGCTATTGTTGCTGTATTCGAAATTACAAGTCTTTACACGAATCAATCTTAATTAAGGTTCATTCTTATTTTTTGTTCTTGGATTGTACTTATTCTTCAGTTCTTGTAATAATACATTGCTACTTGTCAATAAAGATTCTAGCTTTTATAATACCAGGTTGCCATTTAGCTGTTTCAGATTAAAAATCGGCTATAAATTTTCGGCGAACAATGTAACTTGATCAATTTTTGCAAATGAATGGCGACGACTTGAAACACAAATATTTTATTATTTTTGAGATCGAACCAATGTTGAAAACTAGACAAAAGGTAGTAGAGAATATTCATTTTCTTCTTTTTGCTTTTGATGCTTTGTATTTTCTGTGCTCATTATCTTGGTTCTCTTGAACACTGACTGTATAGTTTTTTTTCCCATTTGGTCAGGTTCTGGAAATATGAAACGTTAAGCTATTTTCTTTTTAGTTATTGCAGTGAGTAGGACGAACTACTATTGAATTCTCTCTCACTGTCATTGACTCTTTGGCATCTGTTTGTGTTTTAAGATATGCAACGACAACAGCCAGTTCTGCGGGTCAGATGAATAACATGAAGCCCAAGTCAATAACAGCTCCTAAATGGCGAAGAGTAGTCTTTAAAATTAGTGGAGCTGCTCTTTCTGGTGCCGCCCCAAATAATATTGACTCAAAGGTTTGTTTTTTACAGAAAAGAACAAGCATTAGTGATGATGGTATTTGGCAGATGAGCAATCTTTCATCTTAATGTAAATCTGTTTGTTCTTGTTTGGCAGGTGGTCATGCTCATTGCTCGAGAAGTTGCAATTGCGAGCCGCGTTGGCATGGAGGTACTGATGCCTGCATATTCTTGTTTCCCATGAAGGTTCTTTGCTGGTTTCTTGAACATTAACATAATGAGGTTTTCTTGTTTGATACCTCAGGTGGCTATTGTAGTTGGTGGTCGTAACTTCTTTTGTGGAGACACATGGGTAAATTCAACAGGTTTAGATAGAACAACAGCATATCAAATTGGGTAAGTGCAATTTTTTAGTGTTGTGCAAAGTGTGTTGATTTATAACATACCATCTGTCATCTGATCTGTATTGGATTGCGCGAAGGCCGCTTGAGGTGGAATGGGCATGTCCAACGTAGATCGCTAGAAGCACCAATTCGTGCTTGGGAGGACATTCTTATACCTAATACTAGGAGGGGGAGGGGTAGACCAAGAATTACATGGACTGAAGTAGCTAGGAATGACATTTTAAATCTAGGCTCTCAGGAAAGTCTAATTTCGAACAGAGCTGCGTGGAAAAGTGAAATTCTTATAGCCGACCCCAATTAAGATGGGATTAAGGCTTGTTGTTGTTGTTGTTGTTGTTGTTGTGATGGACCGTTTGTGAACTGCCTGATAAAGTGTACGTGGTCTGAAATTTTTGATTAGTCATGATTGAAAAAAGTTGACACTTTCTCATATGTACCAGTATGATGGCTACTGTGATGAACTCCGTTTTACTCCAGTCAGCAATAGAAAAGATGGGAGTTCAGACTCGTGTCCAAACCGCATTTTCAATGCACGAGGTTGCTGAACCATACAGCAGGCAACGGGCCATTAGACATCTTGAAAAAGGGAGGGTTGTGATATTTGCTGGCATCGGTGCTGGCACCGGGAATCCACTCTTTTCCACTGACACAGCTGCAGCTCTTCGAGCTTTGGAGAGTATGGATCTGCCTTAGCACAATCTATTTCTAATCGTTGTTGTTTAGCTCACACAAGCAGAGTCACACAGATTGATAGACTGCACTCCTTTTCTATGAACTTGACATGGCATTTTTTTTTTGTTTTTTTGAAAATCCTCAGTTCATGCCGAGGCAGTTGTCAAGGGCACAAATGTTGACGGTGTGTATGACTGTACCTCTCAAGACAGCAATTTTACATTTGAGCACATCTCTTTCAGGGACTTGGCTGCCAGAGGTGCTACTTTGATGGATTCTATGGCACTGACGTTCTGTGAAGAAAACAGGATTCCTGGTTGGTATACATGGTACCTTTTTATATTTTATTTATTTGGATTCCTAGGGTACTTCTGTATCAGAAAGAGACATTTTCACTTTGGTTGGTTGCTCATATCATTGTATCACATGGACGCACAGTTTCCTTTTAGTACCTTTTGATTTTCCAATGGATGAAGAAATCTAATTACTAATTTTTTCATCCACAGTCGTTGTGTTCAATCTTCTAGAGCCTGGAAACATCTCGAAAGCATTATGCGGAGAACAAGTTGGTACACTAATTGATCTTACTGGGAGGATTAACTAATAAAACATTCATGGGGGCTCTCTACTTATGTCTTATTTGTTGTTGTAACCTCGGTTGTTTTATTAACTAGCTCCAGATCCTTGATGTATAATTTCCTGCCTGTTGTGTACATAATAAAGGTAGAGTTAGGGTCCTAACATGCCCATTGCTAATTATTGGTCATTCCACCGGTTAGTTGCTGTGTCTAAAATTCTGTATCTTAGCATGGTGGCTATTTTTCTTTTTAGCTTGTAAATGCCCGTAATCTTAATTGGAAGAGAAATAACAGATCAGTGGACAATATTTGGTTGAATTGTTTCAACTATCTTAATTGGAAGAGAAATAACAGATCAGTGGACAATATTTGGTTGAATTGATTCAACTTGTTTTACTTTCTTCTTTTTAGCAAATCCCAGGTCGATGTTGAAGTCTTTACGAGGTTAACATTCAGTTCAGCTCTACAGTTCAGCAGAGATTGATTCAAGTTTTGAGCTAATATTAAGGCCACTAAGCGTGCCAAATCTTTACTTTGAATATGAGTAATAAACAAATACAACTGAACAAAGCTACATTACATAACAGGAAAGCTAATTAAATTTAAAAAAAAAAAAGAAAAAGAAAAAGAACTGTCTTCTTTGTTGATCAGTACTGAGATCATTGATCTCACACCTTTCAACAACAAGAAAACCATAAAATTACAGTTATTACAGACCATAGCTAGACAACCATAGAATCCGAGTAGAGAGAGCCTGCAGCAGCAGCAGCAATTAGCAGCGAGATAATGCAAATGAAAAAAAAAATGACGATGACATAGAAACAACCATGGAACATCGCAGGCAAATAACGTTGGACAATCTCGATCTCAAGGCAGCCCATCTTCGGTGGTGGCTACAGAAGGCGAAAGTGAATTTCTCGACTCATCGTAGTCTTCTCCAAGTGGAGATTGCTCAACCCTTATTTCCTCAATCATCTTAGCAACTTCAGCCATTGTAGGCCTCTTCTCTGGTTGTGGCACAACACAAGCCAACCCCACATGAAGCATCGAAACGAGCTCTTCCTCAATGTTCTTGTACCTCAAAAGCTCTTGATCAAACACTTCCCCTGTCCACTCTTCCTTCACCACAGACCTGACCCACTTGGGAAGGTCCACCGTCTCCTCTTCCTCCTCAAATTTAGGCCTAGTCGGCGAAGGGTACTGCGAGGGAGCTCTACCTGTGAGAACTTCCAATAATAAGACTCCAAAGCTGTAGACATCAGCCTTTTGAGAGAGCCTCTTTACTTCTGACTGTTCAGGAGCTCTGTAACCTCCCAATCTCGCTATGGCATGAACAGGGTTGAGAAGCAGAGACAACCCGAAATCGGAGATACAAGCCACGCCATTCTTGTCAAGTAGAACATTGGAAGCTTTCACATTCCCATGTGGTATTTTGGCCTCGCCATACTCCTCATGAATCCGAGCAAGCCCGCGAGCTGCTCCTAACACCAAGCTGATCCTTGTAGTCCAATCCAGTGGAATTCTCCCCGGACCCCGGTTCCCTAGTTGCACCAAAAACATTGATAACAATCACACACATGCCATATTATATAATAAATAGGGAATTCAGTAATAGAAAAATGATATATTCAATTGGTTTTGCATTAATCTAAGGTTTAAAGATAAAGCCGCATGTTATAAGCCCCACAGTCCCACTCACCTAAATAAAATCTAAGAAAACAAAATTTCGGGAAATTACAAGGTAGCGTAAAAATCCCATGAACCATACTTTATAATCTGAAGTAGATATTTCTTAATCTTTATATTTTATAGGAAAAATTAGAGATATAGCAAAATTTTACTAATTACATTGAAATATAGCAAAAAATTTAGAATATTTTACAAATAGCAAAAATAAAAATCACTAAAATAATTATTGCATGATTTTGTAGTATAGAAATGTGAATATTATTGTAATAATTACTACATAATTTTGTTGTTCTTAAAATATTTTAGAAAAATCTGTTATATTTCAACTCCATTTTTATAAATTTTATACATTTGTCATGCAGTGTAATTTCTTCTACCTTTTTATTGTAAGATTTCACTGGATGAACTTAATTCCGATATGATCTTAAGAGTAAAGACACTAACCACAAAGACCATAACTTTGATGGTTTTGAAGATATATAGAATCAGAGAAATACCATGAAGAAGATGGTGCAAGCTTCCATTGGCGAGATAATCATAGACGAGAAGCTTCTCCTCCTTGGCATAGTAGTAAGCTCTGAGCTTCACAACATTCGGATGCTTCATCTTCCCAATCACATCCATGTACTGCTCGAACTCCTTCCTCGCGCATGGATTCGCGTCCTTCAACCTCTTCACCGCCACCGTGCAGCCGTCGTCGAGCACCGCCCTGTACACCGTCCCTAAGCTCCCCTTTCCCAGCATCTCCGCCGACGCCCTCAGCAAATCCTCTAGCTCGAACTGCTTCTTCCTGTCGAAGAACACCAGCCTGCTCCGATCCGTCCCCGTCGTCCCGTCGCTGTCTCCGCCGCCTCCGCCGTTGGCGTAAACCTTCTTATCGCTTCCGTAGCTGCTTCTCCTTTTTCCAGCCTCGCTTCCGGCCATGGACGAATTCGATCCTCGCTCCGATCTTGCGCAGTAGTGCGCGACCACGAACGAGACGATCACCAACATAGCCACGCAATTCGCGATCACGATCGCGACGATCGCGCCGGCGCTCAATCCTCCCGATCTCCGCGAATGCTTCTTCGATTCCTCGCCGTTCGGTACTGTTTGCGGCAATGAGCTAGGATTTGACGGGACGGTCTGATCGGACGGCGTCGTTCCGGTGAAGGAACAGACCGGCAACGGACTCGAACCGCAGAGGCCTTCGTTTCCGTAGAAGCTCTCCTCTCCGAATCTCCTCAGCATCGGATCCGGCAATTTCCCGTACAGCTCGTTGTTCGTCAAGTTCAGCTCCTTCAAATTGGGGAGTTTCTCGGAAAAGTCGGGAATTTTGCCGGAAAGCATGTTGTCCTGGAGGCGAAGCGTGAGGAGTCTGTGTAATTTCTCGATTTCCGTCGGAATTGAACCGCGGATGTTGTTGTCGGAGAGGTCGAGGCGGAGTAGGCGGCGGAGGGAGGAAATCTCCGGAGGAATCTCGCCGGAGAGGTCGTTTCCGGCTAGGTAAACGAGCTTGAGGTTGACGCAGTTGGAAAGCGGCGAAACGGTGCCGTTGAGGCGGTTGCCGTGGAGGTCCAAGAGCCTGAGCTGCTCGAGAGAGGAGAGAAGGTCGAGCGGTCCACGGAGGTTGAGCGAAGGAAGAGAGAGAGCGACGACCCGGCCGGTCGGGGAGCAGCGAACGCCGGTCCAACCGGCGGCGCAGGCGTCGGGGCCTGTCCAGTTGGAGAGGAGATTGCCATGCGTGTCGGTCTGGAGGCGGAAGTTGATGAGCAAAACGGTGTCGTTTTTGGCCGGAAAAGAAAGGGAGAGATTGGGAAAGAAGAGGAGGAGGAGAAGAAGAAGAAGAAAGGGTGAAAAGGAAGCCATGCGATAGTGATGATGATGAAGATGATAAGAATTGAGACTCATTTGTTCTTTTTTGGAGGGGCTTGGGCGGGAATGGGGTGAATAAGCAATGAGTGTTTTTAAAAAAACTATAACGTCTCTCACTCTTGAGTGTGAAGTGCTTCCCTATTTCATGTTTTTTTTTTCTCATTTTTTTTTTTCATTTTAGATTCGGATTCTATATCTAATTTTTATGTCACGAAGCGTCTAATTAATTGTATTATATTATGTTATTTAAGGAATCTCAATTTTTTAAACTGATCTTTCTATGGTCAAATATGTTCATTACATGATGTGATAAAACAATGTAATTCGCTAGATATTAAATTAAACCAAAAATATAAATCTCTTTTAAGGAGTGGTGAGAAAAAGGTTTAAGTAATGTTTTTTTTTTTTTTTTTTTCTCATTTTTTTTTTTCATTTTAGATTCGGAATCTATATCTAATTTTTATGTCACGAAGCGTCTAATTAATTGTATTATATTATGTTATTTAAGGAATCTCAATTTTTTTAACTGATCTTTCTATGGTCAAATATGTTCATTACATGATGTGATAAAACAATGTAATTCGCTAGATATTAAATTAAACCAACAATATAAATCTCTTTTAAGGAGTGGTGAGAAAAAGGTTTAAGTAATGTTTTTTTTTTTTTTTGGTCAATTGAGAGGAGAGAGAGAAAAGGAATGATTGTGTGTGATGGGTGTTTGTTATTATATTTGAAAGTGCATAATTAAAGTTGGGGATTTGAAAACAGAGGGAGATTAGAGAGGTGGTGTGTGGACTATGGAGCGGTTGTTGCATGAATGATTGCTGTTCTCCACTCCTGTGATATGAAAGTGAGGGGTCCAAAAAAGGAATAATTCTGTGTCGGAAAAAAAAAATTTACTAATTAGACAATAGTTTTAAATAATTATACCATATTAAAATAAATATTAGATTAAAAATCTATAATTAACGAAATTTAGTGAAAATGTGTTCAATCACCATGTTTTTTTAAATCCTATTACAGCATTCTTCCTAAAAGGAAGTTCTGAGAGCTCTCAGTGTTCATTATTTTTACTTTTAGTTTTAAATTCAGCAAAAAAAAAAAAATTTGCCTTTTTTTTTTTCCTGGGACAATTGTGAAATTTGGGTGTCCTACCCTATTCATGTTTTTTTTTTTTTTTTTTTTAAATTTGTTGGAGTTGTGGGGCTATGCAAAATCATGAGCATGGCTTCTGACCAAAAAAAAAAAGGTCAAAAAAAAAAAAAAAAAAGAAAAGAGACGCTGATGGAAAATCTGGCATGATTCTCGACCATCAAAATTCTCAATTGCTCAGAGATCAGGATTACTCAGTCACTTTGACATGCTTTTACGTAAGTGACATAATTCACTTTGGATGGCCAAGAAGCTATTCTTTTTTCCAAAATGACATGAGTGCAAATTAACAGTTTTCTCAGGGCTTCTTACGGTGTCACTCCTGATTGTGACTACTGACAGAGTAAGTTGTTTATTGTTAGATTAATTTTTTTACATTTAAATTTATAATAAGAACAGTTTTACGTGACTCGTTATAAATTTTTACATATTTTATTATTAAAAAATTTAGAGTTTGTTCTTTTAAAATTTAATTTGAGTATAATTTTTGAGTTGAATTTGACTTATAACTTGAGTTGAACTTGTAACTTGAGTTTGTGTTTAGTTGTGTACATTTGAGTTATAGTTTGAAATAATAATCTTTTTGAGTTTGTGTTTGAGTGAGTCAAAATTTGAATTTGTATTTAGATAATATTTTAATAAAAAATCAATGCTAATGAAAAATTTTAATAGGGTATATGGGTCGGGTTTTATTCGTCTTTTCGTTGTCAACGCATAGAAAAAAAAATCATCTCAATCAGAATTAAAACGAAAAAGTTATAGCATTTTTAAAAATAGAAAAAATATTGTTCATTAATTAAAGTTTGAGTTTCTGAACTCGAGTTGAAGAGAAAACTTGAACTCGAGTTTTAGTCCTGAACTCGAATTTGAACTCGAGTTTAAACTCGAGTTTAAACTTAAAAGAACATGAACTCAAATAAAGTTGTAACTCGAGTTACCTTTTTTTGAGTTTTTCACTCAAAAGAACAAGCCCTTAATATAAGAGTTCAAAACTCTATTCTGCAGTCGCACCATTTCATTTTCTCAATGTTGCTTGGAAAATTTTATGAATTGATTTACTGAACATTACAAGGGAGATTTTTTGGTACATCAGACGTATTGATAGGATTTTTTAACTGTTAAATTTACATATTTTTTTAATTTTTACGTGATTTTATGTAAATTTGACGAATAAAAAACCTGATCGATATGTTGGAGTACAAAAAAAAAAGTCTCATCTTACAAATGGTACTAACATTAATACCAATGGTGGTAAGCTCACGAAGTTCAATGGTCTATTTCCAAACGTGTGTTTATTTCGCATTTTGTTTTTGGATTTTTAATAGATTTGTAAATGCAAGTATATATTTAGTTGATAATGTCCTGAAAATGTCAGCATGTGAACATTAATTGAGAAAATCTGTAAAGAAAAACATGGATTAATTGATACTTTAATCATATAAAAATCGATATCCCATAAGAAACACACAAGGAAAAAACAAATTGTATCTTTGTCTTTGTTATGTGGATCATGAACCTATTTTACTGTTATACTTTTTTCTGCATACATATGGTCAACTTCCATTATTTGTTTAAACCCACCAAATGATTATTATAATGTGTACAGATTTTCTTAATGTTATATTAGTCGTCGTTCACTGCTCATCATTTGATTTTTGCTGGTCTAGTTGCGTAGGCCATAACTTGCCTATATATAAACACTAACCTCATAACCTTAAAAGACATTTATAAATACCGAGAATCTGTGGTAGACATTAAAAAAAAAAAAAATTAACACAATTCTTAACCACCGTATCGTCACATTATAATTATATTAAATTAAAAAAATATAATATCTAATAGGTAATTATCTGCTACAAACCCTCCGAAGAATTCTCATTATAATATATGAACAACAATTAGATCCATAAACAGAATCGTCTCAGCTAAAAGAAATATTAGAGAAACTAATTGGCCTACAAAGTTTCAGGGTCCGTTTAATTTGCTGATTCGAGTTAAGATGTGACTTTATGTGAGAATTTTATGTTGTAACAAAAAAGTTAGACGTGACTGTTTCTGAGAACTTTTTACTGTAACAAAACTCGAATTCTAAACTCAAATCGGTGAAATGAACAAGATCTCAATAATCTCTATATGTGGATATTGTTCCTAAGTTCTGAGTGGGTATTTGGTACAAGATTATTTGGAAGTAACGCTTTTCAAATTCAGTGGTGCATATACATACAGTCTCATAAACCAAGAAGCTGATACGCAGGCTTTGGAAAAACCTTTGAAAAGTGAAGCCCCGTACACATACATATGTTTGTATGTGTGTGTGTGTGTGTGTGTGTGTGTGTGTGTGTATATATATATATATGTATAATTGTTGAGCTGTGGGCCATTACAATTAACAAAGCCACATGCGTGTTGCTACCAATCCTACCTTATTCCAACTTTAACAAGTCTTTGATTACTTTTACTATTAAACTCAAAACATGATTAGTTATCTTAATCTCATTGGACAAACTTTTCAACGATTTCAGATAAAGTGGGGGGTGCATAATCTTGATTTTGTTTGCCTGCTGTTACTTCTCTTTTCTATGTCATTGAAGAAGAAGGACAAAAATAAATAAATAAATAAATAAATAAATAAAGCTTAGAACTTTGAGTCTATAGAAAGGAAAGTTTCCATGCCATACCTAGAATGATAATGATTAAAGAAAAAAACATGCATGGAATATTAAAAAAAGAAAGACTATATAGCCTACCCAACATGATCTTTTTCCTTCTAAACTGAAATCTATAGCTTTTGTTAATCTTTTTTTTTTTAGCAAAGAACAAAAAAAAAAAAAAAATTAAAACTAAAAAAATCGCGTAGCGTTAGGGGGTAACATAAATGCATAGAGTTATAATGTGTAGGAAAACAAGTGTTAAAATCTCATTGAAGTTTGACTCTAGATATTGGCGATGGCACCAAAAATTCATGTGTTAGATATCACTGCTTTACAGCTACATACAGAGACTATAGTGCCATATATAGGAGCATTTTGTTTTTCCAAGAAACAAAAAAATAAAAATAAATAAATGTGCTGTTTTTATGGGATGAAGTGTTATTCTTCCATGAGAAATTATTAGTACATCGGGTGTACCATGTTATATTATTTATGTAGTATATTCGTCTAATAAGATTGTATCATTTAAACATTTTTATTTATGTCAATTTTTTATTTTTATTTTTCTCTCTCCTAATAGATATTTGCATTGATTATTGAGTCAAAAGCACTTATTATTCTACCTATTTTTTTTATTTTAATGACCTATTAGAGAAGAGAAAAATAAAAACCAACTGTTCAAATGATATAATCTCATTGGATCGGTGTACCACATATATCTAAATAATATAATTTTATTAAACATGTGTATCACATAAGTAATATGACGTGGTATACTGCTGTATTGAATAATCAATCTTCTTCCATTTAGGTTTTGGTTTAAATCTTTGATATAATTTTATTAAACATGTGTATCACATAAATAATATGACGTGGTATACTACTGTATTGAATAATCAATCTTCTTCCATTTAGGTTTTGGTTTAAATCTTTAATGCCACATTTGCCACATCCCAATTCTATGTCATCATCTCTCACCATTTTACATAGTAATGTTGTCTCAAAAAGTAAAGGACATGTTTCAGCTTTCTTTTTTTTTTTTCGGTTGGATTAAAAGTGTATGTTTTGCTTTTTCTCACTGAACAAGAAGAGGTCAGAAGGAGAGATTGAAGGCGTGATTGACGATCTAATTTACTCTCTTCTATCAACAAGTGGACAAAACACTTTGGTACCAGAAGAAAGAAAAAAAGGGTCAAAGCTCAAAAGCCTTGCTTCATAATGGTACAACAGTATGGGGCACTATTTTTTATTTTTTATTTTTATGTATTTGATTTTTCCAAAATTCTGGAATCATTGGGAAAATGAAACAACATGAAGTAATTTTGGATTTAAGAAGCTTCTTCTAGGGGTGAAGTAAAGACAAAACCAAAAGTTGAATATGTATTTTTCCCTTTGGCTGAAATATTAGACATGTGGGTTTTGGTTTTTTATGCGACAGACAACACTATTTAGTGGAATATAACCAATTTGATAAGGAAAGGATATTTGCATAAGAGTTAATTTTTCATTTTCCAAGTGGACCAAATGATATCAACTTGGCGGATTCAAATCACGTATAAGTATATATCATGCCATGCAAAAATAGTAACGGACAAATTAATAGCTTGAACATTTTTAAAACATTTCCATTTATTATGTTAAAGAATAGTGAGCTTTCTTTTGAGGTAGAAAAAAGAATCAAATTAGGCAAGGCACAGATTTTCCTCCGTTCTGGCAAAGCTTCCTCTCCGCTCCCAATGTTTTACAAGCAAACGTGTTAAGAACAACCAAGTCCGATCAAGATCAAATCACTTTGGACATTACCAGCTTAAAGCATTGTTTTTTTTTAATGAGAATTTAACTATAAGATAAGAAAAAGAATACCCTATTAGTAAAACTTTGTTTTGAACCGTCGTATTTAATATAAATGTTGAATTTGTATATTCTTTTATTTGATGGTCAAAAATTGAAGTAATAGACGGTTCTATAGCTTACAAAGCTCTTATTTAAAATACACACATATATCTATATATAAAATGAGAATTTTTAGAGTGCGTTTCTTTTAAGGATTCGTATCATCGTTCGAATTATGATTTGTGTCTCGTTATAGTATTTTTTCTCACAAAAAAAATACACATAAATCGAGAATAATTCTAAATCATAATTTTAAATTCATCACCTAAACGTCATTTTAAATGTGTTGGGGCAATGTAGTCACATCGTTTCTAGTACTCTTGTCCCACAATCCTACTTTTCACGAGAAAGCAAGTGTGTGAATATCTAGGCACCGACATTACTCTCACAGTCTCTCTAGTACTCCAGATGCTTACCAATCACTCGTTTTGGTATTTCCTACATAACTTACCCTTTCCTTCTGTTCTTGTATTGCCAGTACGATTGCCCATCTTGCATTTATAATTTTATAGCATCTGCCTCTGCTACACACACACACACACATATATATTTGGCTGGTTTGCCTCTGCCACATAGTTGTGCATACATAAATATGTTTCATTTTCACTCCAATCTTAGAAGTATGACATCCTTATTTTCAAGCCATCGGTAGACTTTGTAAGTTTTGTGAAAGTAAAATTGCTTTTATCCATAGGTATACCGAGTTACAAACGTTTGGTTGGAGAATTCAAACCATGTGATTCGAACCATTTTCGATTTACGTGAATTTTTTGTGAGAGAAAATACTGTAACGAACCATAAATTATGATTCGAATCAGGGAACGAATCCCTCTACCAAACATATTTGGTTCACACAATCAAATCAGAATCGAAACTATTAGTGAGATATTTTTAAATTCAAATTTTTTGTGAAAGAAAAACACGATAGAAAATCAGAATCATGAGTTTAAATACATTTACCAAACGATCTTTAGACTTCGTTACATGTCATGGATTTTTTCATTTTTTTTTTTTTTTGGTAAAAATCATATTCCCACTTTCATTTATCCTCATTGAGGTTTCTTCCACAATACTAAAAACTGTAGCACATTCACATGACCACCGTTGGGTTACCGTCGTTTCTACCTTCAACGAGGTTAAATAGGGTTAAGTGGCAGATTTCCTAAATTTCTCTCTTTTAATCTACTGTTTTCTCCATGCTCCATGCATGCCTTTTTTTTATAAATCAAGTCACATCATTACAAAAAAGTCGTGCGAATTAGGTTGGGTATAACTTTTGAAGTTTAGTAATTCACCCGTACCCGTGCCATCTTTATGTGTAGATTAGGTTTAAATTTTCCACTTTGTAGGAAAATTAGAGGTGAATTAGAGGAATACCACTTTGTAGAGTGTTGGTATTTGCACATATCATTTTTGTAAGAAAAATTTGAGCCACATTTTCACCTAAAGATGGTATGGTTGAATAATGCAAGGTAGTTTTGGGCCTAATTGACACCAATTTCTATCCAATGTCCATGGACTTGCTCTTCGGCCCAGCTTCAAAATGGGCAATTAATCCCATTAGAGTGATGATAAAGAAGTAGAGCATTAACCTCAATTTTAGAGGTTCCACAACCATGACTTTTCAGCTGAAGGCATGTTTCAGAAGCTGGCCATCTAATAGGTTCCACACCCTGGCAACAATACCACTTGACAAGGTCTCATATGCTTGTTTAGCAGCCACACGACGTGCTTCCAGAACTTCGTCGTCCCTAAAGAGAAGTTCAAGAGCTTGTTCGAGCTCCGATTTTCCGGACACCTGCATGACCATTGACATTAAAAATCTCTACGACATTTTGTCTAGTACTAGGACCAAAAGGTTCTTAATTCGATGCTATGAAGTCATATACTTGTGTGAAAGTACAGCACTTGAAATGTTTAGCAGACCTGAAGAACTGACAGAGGATTTAATCGTTGCATATCCAATATCATATCTGAGAAATGCCCAACATAAGGACCTGAAATCAAACAACATAAAGTCATATATTTGTATTTAAGAGCTCACAACTTAAGCAAATTAAGGTGAGAAGAGAGAATATTTCGGGCACCAGTTAAAACAGCACAGCCAGCTGCGGCAGCTTCTGATATGTTGTGACCGCCAAAACCCGGCAAGAAGGAACCGCCAATTACAGCTATTGGAGTTGTTCTATATAAGTGTCTCAACTCACCTACAAATCAAGTGGAAAAAAGAGAAATTACATTAAGAAAGAGCTGAATTTGTTACAGGACTTGTGCCATATTCAAGCAGGACTTGTCTAATAAGAACTGCTGACCTAATGTATCCACCACATATATATTTGTTCCTGATATAAGTTTATCGCCTCGAGATCTCAGAGCTACACCTTGCCCTTTTTTCTGCAGTTCCTGCACAATTGGAGACAAAAGTAATGAAAAAATAACAGACAGGTACAATCCCATCATGAAACACAGAAACAGTGAGTTTCAGACGCTCAATAAGTTGTGCGTACACAACGTATGAACATTAGAGTTTTCTAGTATCCAATTATAAAAAATGATAAGATACCGATTTCTCATGAATATTCCTAGTCCTGCAGAAAACTGCAGAGAAAGCCAAATTACTTTCCAAATAATGATGATTATAGAATCCGGCAATATATTACTAGACTTTTCAATGTGTAAGTGCGTGGTATGTCACCTACATGAAATGAAATGGAAATTAAGCACAGTTCAAGGCTTGGATGATTCGTTCAAAAGTACAAGAAGAACACGTAAAGGGTTAACAAAAGACGTACTTGAGCAATATCTTGTCCGTGTTGTGGATGTCTAGGCACAATAATTGTAACCAAATGAGGGTGCCCTTGCATGAGCATATTGTGGGCAGCTAGTATAACTGCAAATAAATATCATCCAAAAACTTAAAAAAACTTCCAGACCAAAACAACTACATATTTAAAATCCTAATGGCAAAGAAAACCAAAATGTTAGACAATCGTACGATGATACCAAGTGATCAAAAATATGAGCAGAATAAATTGCAAGCCTCATTGGTGAGGTGACAGTCCCAAATGTTAATGACTACTGTACACGCGTGAAAGTTCTAGCAGGAGCATCTACTATCAAACTTTCAGTAATTGAAATTGCAATCTTAGCATACACGAGTCATGATATGATAATGAAACTGAAGGCTAAGTAGCGGGAGTTCACCTTCTTCTTCTCCCTTGTGTATGGAAGAAGCCATCCATACTTGCCTGTGAGCAAGCTGTACCTTCAGAGATTCTATACTTCTCATCTCTCCTTCAGAAATGTCAGATTCTTCAACCGCTGAACTCAAAAAGAACGATTAAGATGGCTAATATATTCCTTATGAAATCCAGCTTTACGAGTTGCTATTGTGATTACAAATGAATCAAGAAATAAAACAACCGGGGTTGGTTTAATTGGTCCTACAAAGGTATTGCAAGAAAAATAATGTACTTTAACCTCATCATATTTCACAAAGACGTACAAAATTGTAAAATGAAAAACAAAAGATCAAAATTGAGTTATCTATAGACTATACCAAATTTTAAGTCGCCAGAAAAGTGGAAGATAGAAGGTGGGGCAAGCAGTAACTGAAAGTTGATTGCCTGAATATTGCTCTATGAGATAGAAAAATAATCAATAACAATGACGACAAAAGCTAAAGATATAGATTATTCTCAGCCACAAACAACACGTACCAATGGGATAATCAACGAAAATTTTGATAGCATTAATGAAATCAGTGGAAGAAGCCATGGACTTGACCAACGTTTGAAGGATTTAGTAGACACTCGAGCATTTAGCAAGGCCAGCGCAATCTAAAATCACTTGGAACATATAAATATTCCAGAATCCAGTAAACTAAAGTGTGTGCATGCACACATACGCGAAAATACAAGAAGAGCAAATTGTACCCTACCTATCTAAATAATGCAACTAGTGAACAAGCATTTAACAACAAAATGAGAGGAAATAGGCACACAAATAGTAGAGTTATCAAATAAATGGAGAAACTTACACCCTTCCTTGAAGCATCCATGATGAGATTTGGCCACAATTCGCTTTCCATCATCACGATTGCATTTGGCTTCCAATAGCCCAGAAAAGCATCCATAGTGGCCGGGGTATCAAGAGGCGCGAACTGGTCCAACAGTACACATAACAAGAAAATCAAAAATTCATACGCATAATAAGAAAATAAAAAATTCATACACATAATAAGAAAATCAAAAATTCATCTTTTGTACAGACATAACAAGTGCACATCTTTTGGACAATTAGCTTATTAACATCTTTAGTGCAATACCAAATTAGTGAGCTAATGCCAAATTTTAATATTTGAGTAGGAAAATTACTCTCCAATATGTCAAATTTCATTGAATCATTAAAACATTAGCACTTTAAATTATATTTTAAATTAATTATATTATAATTTATATTAATTTAAATTATATTTAAATTATATTTCATTGAATCATGAGTGAAATTTGCTAGTATCGAAGTACCTGATATATGACTCCATTTGGAAGACGATTCTTTATTACTTCACTGCACAAAGGAGGAACAGAATACTTCAAGAAACCAATATATATATATATAATTATAACAGTTGAAACAAACGATATCGTTTTTACAATGCGGAAGTAGTTGTAGTTGTCATCAAGATATTCAAATCAGGCCTTCTCCGAATACATTCTTTGATCACTGGAATCGCAGTCAGTCCTTCACCTACATTGAATTTTAGCACCAATTAACAAATTAATCGCTCAAAACACAAAAGATTAAATTAATAAAGTCGCAGGCTTTTTTCAGCTTCCTAACCCTTTTTCCTCCACTTTCTCAGGATCCAAACATGAGAAGAAGAAAAAAAAATAAAGCGGAGATTCAGGAAAACCTAGAGAGACGGCGTGGAACCAGACGAGTGGGCCAGGGGGACGAGGTAGGGAAGCGCGGCCGAGACGCTCCGGCCACCGGAGCGGGTGCTCGAGGCCTCGGTGTTGTCGCCATCGGAGGTGAAGGTATAGCAATGGCGATAAACTGTAAGTCAGTGCTCTGTAAATGGTGTAGACCAACTTCCCTTTCGTTGCCGCCATTTTTTTTTTCTGTGTTTTTAATTCCAGCTTTACATTACATGAGTTGTTGACTCTTTGCTATGGCGCGTGGTTTTGGAGACGATGACAGAACGGTGGGCCTGATACGGATTATTGGGCCTTCGTGGAAGTTTCGCCCGTAGGCCCTCTGTAATTGGGCTAATAAAGAGGTAGCTTCTTTGAGTTGAGTTACCAACAAAAGAGATAGAAGTAATTACACATAAGTTGAATGGTTCCGGTGGTTTAAACTACGGTGATTCTAGTTTTAATTTTAAAATTAAAATTAAAATTTATAATTTTAAAATTAAAATTAAAATTAAAATTTATGATTTTAAATTTAAATTATAGTTTTAAAATTAAAATTAAAATTAGGAGTTTGAACCACCCAAAATTAAGAGGGGTGGTTTTAGATTAAGAGGTGATTCATGATTTAAAACATCACATTAGGGTTTAAATTTTAAATCAGAACCATCCTAACCAAACACTAATTTTGAATGAGTCAAATCAGAACTACTTTTTACTTTTTATAAACTAACACTAGTTCCGAACCAGAATCATGGTTCTGAGTTCAGAATCCTTACACCAAACAACACAGAAATTTAGCAAAGTTCTTAGAATATTCTAAATATAGCAAAAATGGCACAATAATTATCATAATGATATCATATTTTATACTATATAATGATGTGGTCATTATTTTAATGACACAAAAATAATATAAAATTTTGTTATTCTTGTAATGTTTCAAAATTTTTACTAAATTTAGACTTTGATATCAAAATTTTGCTATATGTGTCAATCACCTGAAAAGATAACTACAAAGATAAATACTTCAAATCACAATTTAAACTTTTTACTGCAATAGTGTTTTTCTTAAAAATTCAAATTTAATTTAGTAGTTTATCTCATGAGTTGAATTTTCAACTCAAGTTCTCAACTCAAACAAGCGAAAAGAACGTGACCTACATTGTAAAATTTCATAAGAAGAAAGAGCTAAATAGTATTTTTCTAAAAATATTCATGCTAAATAGCATATTTACAGTAATGATTTATTTATGAAGCATATTTATGGTAAATTTACTTTATAAATTTGCTTTATAAATGTATCATTTTACTGTAAATATGCTATTTGCAATAAATATTTTAAAATATGTATCAACCATGGCTAGAGAGAGCTCAACATAACAATGGGAGGCATCGTAAAGTACAAGAGAAAATTCATCACCAGTGAATAGTAGTGTGGAACTGGTCACATAATAACAACCAGTTAAAGAAGAAAATTGGTTGCATTAATTTGAGTGATAGTTGGTCGTTATGCGACCTTATTAGAGATTATGAATGTGTTCTTTTCACAATTTAAATCACAACTTAAACTTTTTTACGTCAGAAAAAAATACTGTAGTAAAAAAAGAAAGAAAGATTGGCCGCATTAGTTTGAGTAACAGTTGGTCGTTATGCGACCTTATCAGGGATTATATGCCTCAATTTGGTCACTATATTTCCAGTTAGACTTTATCAAATTTCTTCAACCCAGCCCTAGAGAGAAGATCTCGTCTCTGTCACAGTCCCAAGATGTCCGAGGCACTTGAAGTAATCGCCAATTAATGCGCAGCAACGACTATACTTGGTTTCCTAACATTGACGAAGGACGTGAGATGGACCACAATATTGAAGAGTTTTCAGCAGCGAAAGAGTTCTATAAGGGAGTTCGAGTGGGTATTCTCATATATTTAATTAAAGTTCAACAACTATATGGATGTAGATCTTATTTTGCCCTAATCCTTTATGTCCTTTATTTTACTTTAATTTACATTTTTACGTGTTTGATCTTTTCTAATCAGCTTTCGAAGAGTTTGAGGGTGTATTCTCATATATTCAATTAAAGACCATCTAGGGTTATGGTATAGTGGTAATGATGCTTTTTTTAGATCTCTTTTAGCTATTTATTCAGGGTTCATTAATTTAGGCTATTTCCACATACTTGATAGTATTAGGGATTGCTGCTATAGTCGTAGGAATTAGGGGATATAAAGTGCACTACCAGATCTATTTTTTTATTAGCAAAAATAAAATAAAATAAAGTTCCACAAGACCTTGCCCTAATCCTTTATATATGTCCATTATTTTACTTTAATTTACCTTTTTACGTGTTTGACCCGTTCTAATCAGGTTTTCGACTTTAGAGCACTAGTTCTACACGAAACACAAATTAATAGAACCAACAAAAACAATTTATTATCACAATCAATAATATTGTACAAAGGAATATATTTAATCAATTAACCCGAATTGTAAGTATACCTCTCGAATGTAATAACATGGTCATGACTTAAACCAAAGGAAAAGACAGGCACAATTTAAATCCAAGGTATTGAAATCTAATCATACATTTATACATTATTCTTGATATCGTACATCCATATAAATTAATGAGAATTTTAAATTCGATAGTACGATTCTCTTTTAAAAGATCATTAAAGTATTGTTAGCGTAATATTATGGACAATGTATGCAAGTCATGGCTGAGCTTAGCATATATATCTGATAAGATTATAGCTAATTAAGATTGCATTTTACTATAAAATTGAAGCCAGCTGCCAAAGGGTGGCGGGGACCAGAGAGCAAGAATGTATACAAATGCTATCAAAAAATCATACCTGCTTATTTGCATTAGAAAAAATTACACATTCTTTTTGACAATATTCATCTAGATATTACAATGATATACCTCTTGACGTGACGTAATTTAATTTTTTTAAAGATGCCATAAATTCCACCTTTAAAATGATTAAAAAAGATAAAAAAGGTAGTTTAATTAACCCACTAAAATTTTTATAAAATGGTATTTATCCTCAAATACAACCAACATATTCTTAAGAAATTCAATTTGTCAAATGCTTTGTTTTAGATTCTTCCTTTTTTTTTTTTAATTTACTCTATCATCTGTTTTCAAAACAACACATATTAGAATTTTTTTTTCTAGCAAAAAAATATTAAAGTGCTTTAAGAAAGACATTGAGGTGTGTTTATATCACTTAAAAATGACAGGAAAAATAAGGAGTTTCCCCCTTTTTTATTTAACTATTTGTTTAATTACAAAATTAAGAATGGTAGTTTATTGATCCCCACCCGATATAGGAAATAAATAAAAGCAATGAGAATGCTAAAGTACCTTACATATTCTTGATAAGTTCACATGTAATAAGGCAGTATCTATAAAATTAAATAAAAAGTACAAAAAATACATTAATAACATTACCATTCATAACTCACTAGTGAATAAATTGGAATGGTTTCTACTCTACTATCTAATACGTAAATAAACATTAAAAGATAAATGTTAGCATCACTGTTTTTATCATTGTCTTGTAACACTCATTGCATTTACTGTTTTAGATGTGGACTCTACTATCTTATTTTCTATTTAAATAATCTATATTATGTTAGTAGAGTCCACATGTCAAACAGAATAGTAAATGCAGAAAGTGACAGAAAGAGTGATGTTAGCATATCTCAACATTAAAAAAAAAAACATATATATTTACTTTTTCACACTTTTTATTTCTTTACTTTCTTTTCTAAACCCATACCATTTTTTCCATTACATCCATACGATGATGGATTGTTTAGTTCGCAAGTATAATTAGAGAAATTACATGGGAAAGGAATATAATATTAGGAAATGTATTTTTATTAATAGTACTTTTGACGTTATTGGAATTTATTTTCATATTAGAAAGTTTATTAATTTTAGTTTTGGGTAACTTATCCAATTATATACTTTACAATGTGTATTTATAGGGCGCCCATTCTATAGCGCTTCTTACTAATAAATTTCACTCCCTTTCCTAGTCCATATTTGACATTTAACATAGGCATCTTATCGAGCTGCGTTAAATCTCTTTATTCTTTTATTCTTTTTCTATCTTCTTATTTAATTATTTATAAAGGTACTAGAGCTTCGTACTCTAATGAGTCTTGATCCTTCATGATTAACGCTTCTTATCTCAGGGCAAGAGCCTCTAAACTCAGCGCCGTCTTCTCTCTCTTGATGCTTGCTATCTTTATGTCAAAGCACTCTCTCCTCTCCTCTCCTCTCCCCAATGAATTTCGTTTCCGTCCTGCGCTCTCAATGATTGTCATCCCTATGCAACTATTTCTATCTCTTTATTTTTATAGGAAAAAAAAAAGTCTTACAAGATTGGATCTCTTACCGGAGCTCCATCTTGTGGGGACATATTAAAGAAAGTATCTTTAATAATAGTTTTGACTTTATTAGTATTTATTTTCATATTAAAAACTTTCTTGATTTTAGTTTTAGGTAATTAATTATGTGCTTTGCAATGTGTATTTTATATGAAGCACATTTCATAATACTTCTTATTAATAAATTCATTCTCTGTTAATGTTGGCACCACTCTAAATTTTTTTTCTTCTTCTATTCTCCTCTTATTTTCTTATTTAATATTTATTACATAATACGTACGCAATCGGTTAATGAAACGACAGATTTAAGTGAATATGCCGGAAGATCTTCACATTTACATGAATGCTCGCTGTGGGTAATGATCAAGTCGCTATCTAAAATTTATGTACTTTATCGTGAATGATTTATGACGTACGAAAAATTCGGTGACATAATGACGGATATATCAGATAAGAAAGGGCGTGCAATTCAACTTTTCTGTTGGCAACATGTAACAAAAACGACACTTGTGTGTAATTCAATTTTTGGTCCCCTCATGATTTTTCGACGCTCACCAAGTTCACGATACAATGAGGAATTCAATTTAAAACTCCAAATTCATTCAAGATGATTTTGACATACACTAAAGTAATATTCACAAGCAGAATGATGGAATAATTGCTATTATACTGACAAATTCGTTCTTTCATTACACGATAAAACGAAGATATAAAATAGGACAATCTATTGTCCTTTTTATTGAATAATAAATTTGATTCTTAATAAAGACTCCTCTACATTATCAAAACAAATAAACAGCCGAACTTAAGTATTATTTGCCTTTATATAAATAACCGTAAATACGAATTAAAACGATAACACTAAGTTAAAAATGAATTACGAGGTTTTAGGTTTAGTTACATTAGTGTTGCTATGGATTGCATGGGCAGTGGTGATAGAACGCCGTCATCGTCGGCCGGAGGAGCTTGGTCGGCTTCCACCAGGTCCTAGGTGGTGGCCAGTGGTAGGCAATATATTTCAATTGGACCGAACACCGCATAAATCGTTCGTCAAACTAGCTCAAACCCACGGTCCCATCATGACACTCTGGCTCGGGTCGATGAGCACCGTGGTGATCTCGTCCCACGAGGTGGCCCGAGAAATGTTCAAGAACCATGACATGGTACTAGCGGGCCGAAAGATCTACGAGGCCATGAAAGGAGAGCAAAGCAATGAGGGATCCCTCATCACGGCCCAATATGGTCCACACTGGCGCATGTTGAGGCGACTTTGCACGACAGAGTTTTTCGTCACGAGCCGCTTGGACGCCATGCAAGGCGTGCGCGCGAGGTGCATTGACCGCATGGTGAACTTTATCGACGACGCGAGCGCGCACGGGACTAGTCCGGTCGATGTGGGACGGTTTTTCTTCTTGATGTCGTTTAATCTCATAGGAAATCTAATGTTTTCCAAGGATCTTCTGGACCCCAAATCGGAGAGAGGGGCCAAATTCTTTTTTCATGCAGGGAAGGTTATGGAGTTGGCCGGCAAGCCTAACGTGGCGGATTTCTTGCCGGTGTTGAGGTGGATTGACCCCCAAGGTATAAGGAGGAAGACACAGTTTCATGTTGAGAGAGCTTTTGAGATTGCCGGAGGGTTTATAAAAGAGAGGACGGAGAGTACGAAGAATGAACAGAAAGTAGTAGAAACCAATGATAAGAAAGACGAGAGAGAGGACTTCTTAGACGTGCTCTTGGAGTTCCGTGGCAATGGTGTGGAGGAGCCTTCTAAGTTTTCCTCTAGAACCATCAACGTCATTGTCTTTGTAAGTCATCTTAACTTCTCTTCGTGTCTATTGTCATCTTTAAATTAGAGGAGATCATATAAAAAACAGTACTTATTTAAAAAGAAAGAAAGAAAAAGAATTAAAGCTCCAAATTTGACATGAATTCATCTATTGTTGCTTGATGCTTGTATGACTATAAATGCAATACAAAAGACAAAAAACAAAAATCTTATTTAAACTAACACTCGTTAATTGTCTCATTTCGGGATAAAATCAACGTTGTACATTTCAATTTTGGTTAAGACCGTTGGCGCGATAGAGATCTGCAAAGGAAATAAATTTATTTGAACTCTAATTTTTTCATAAATAAGAGATGATTTATGAAAAGAATTGAACATAGAAGGAAATTTTTGTAATTAGCTCCTTAGAAATATGTATATATATAATAACATTCATTAGTCAGATTAACAATTCTCTTAAAAGCTTAAGTTATTAAAAAATAGACCAAACAATAATTTTGTAAGACCCGTATTACAAATGTATTTAAACTCGTAATTCTAATTCTGCTATTGGCCGGTTTTCCTCTTACAAATAATTTGCATTTAAAAATTTTACACCAATAGTTTTCTCACAAAACTCCCACTAATAAATCAGAATTACTGACTTAAACGTGTGAAACAAACGGGCCCATAGTACTCTAAGACTTTCTCATATTAGCTTCAAAATGAATATTTAATGTCTGAAACCTATCCCTTCAAAACGCTTGCTATATTAACAGTATTCTAACGTCTAATGGTGTCAAGAGAGTCAAATCCAAAACCGTAACAACACTTGTGTGACTGTCATATATTTTCCACATATATGTATGTATATTATATGTCAGTATGTATATATTTAGCCTATATATTATCTGATATTTCCTATGATCTTTCAGGAGATGTTCACTGCAGGGACTGATACAACCACAAGCACATTGGAGTGGGCAATGGCCGAGCTTCTTCACAACCCCAAAACACTAAACAAAGTCCAATCCGAGCTGAGAAGAACCGTAGGTCCAAACAAGAAGCTTGACGAGAGCGACATCGAAAATCTCCCGTACCTCAAAGCAGTCATCAAAGAAACCCTAAGACTCCACCCTCCTCTACCTTTCTTAGTCCCTCACATGGCCATGGACTCCTGTAAAATGCTCGGCTACTACATCCCGAAGGAGACGCAGATTCTCGTCAACGTTTGGGCGATCGGACGAGACCCGAAAACGTGGGAAAACCCTTTAGAGTTCAAGCCCGAGAGGTTTTTAGGGCCTAATATGGTGGATTTCAAAGGACACAATTTTGAGTTCATACCATTTGGTTCAGGCCGTCGTATGTGCCCTGCGGTTCCTCTTGCCTCTCGGGTGCTTCCTTTGGCTTTGGGTTCACTTTTGTTGTCGTTTGATTGGGTTTTGGCCGAAGGGTTGATGCCGGACGACATGGATATGACTGAGAGGATGGGGATAACGCTTAGAAAAGCTGTCCCTCTCAAGGTTTTACCAATACCTTTCAAAGGACACCATTAATTAATAATCAATCGGTGGAGATAATTAGGTCTACATTATAAATAATTAAAAGATGAATAAGATAATTGATAGTAATTGCAAGAGGCCAAAGAAGTGGGGCTCAAGTTGTTGTAAATAAATATTTATAACTAAATGTATTTGATGTGATTTATATATTCTTCTCTAGTAATATTACCAGTGGAACACTTTGTGTGGCTAATAGTAGTACAAGCTTGGTTTATGATTTAATAACATATATGATTGATTTTCTTTCGCCTTCTCAAATAAAAAAAAAAAAAACAGAGAACAGTGATGCAAATAATTTGGACTGTTTTACTGTTTATATTGTATATAAAAGATCTGGTTAAAGTTTCTAATTATAAATTAGTATTACTTAGTTTGTTGGGTGATGAATGCACTTAATTATCTGCATAAAATTCTATATCCTATGCTATCTTGAAAGAAAAAAAAATCTGTGTTGTGTATTGATCAAAATACATCTTCCGCTGAGTTTCATTAGAAGAGTAAGATTATTTTAATTAGCGTGAAAAGAAACTTTGGTAAGTGACTAAAGTGTACCCTATAACTAGCTTCTACTAGAACATACTTTCACAAAGATATGGTAAAATATGGAGATCAAAAAAGAATTTAACCCTTAATACAGGTATTAATATTGTTGCTAATAAAGCGCTTTAGTTAGTCTCACAGGTACACATAACTTTTAAATACGAAACAGATAACAGAACAGATAGCAAGAACCAACAAATAGTAATTCATAATCTACGTGTTAGTGCATTTTATATTGGCTTATTTTTGGCAAATTAGTTGTAAGATTGGTTGGCATTTTAATTTGGTAGACCTCTTAAGAAAAGTCTTGTTGTCATGTTTATGGACTACAAATCAAAGGATTTGATTGCTGAAAATGAAGAGTGGACTTTTGGGGGAATTAATGGCTGGCAAATCTTCAAGCTTGAGGAGAACGTGGTGTGGGGACACAGGGTTGAAAAAATAAAAATCTGGAAAGGCACATGAGCAATTTTGCTATATATACATAAGTGGCATACGTGAGTTTTTGGGCCCCTTAAAAAAAAAATATTGGGTAATCAAAGGATACATTTGGGGCATGGTTTTTATAGAAGAAATATTCAGAAAAAGCCTATGTAAGAGTGAGTCTTTATGTGTTGATTGAAGATCGTCCTTCGGGAGAAGGATTAGAAGCTTTCGGGAGAAAGCACACTGCCAGCCGAAGGGATTTCACCATGCAATTTTGAAGACGAGTGGTGCTCGCTGGACAAGGCCATTAAGGAGATTCGACACGGCGGCGACAACGTCAAGGAGGGGTTCTTTGGGTGTATAAGTCTGATTGGTGTGTGGAATCATTTGAACTTAGTGGATTGTTTATTGTCTGGGCGTGGCCCCGTAGAGTAGGTGTGCGCACCGAACTGCGATATCATTTTTTTTGTGTCTTTTACGTTTCTGCATTAGTTTCCTGCTTTACTGTTTTACTGGTTTAATTTTAGATTTTTTGTCACAAAAAGTGTTACAGTAAAGTGTTGCAACACCACTTGTGACACCAAGATAAAAACGGACCTAACACTACGTGTTAAAAAAAAGAACGGACAATACTAATAATTATTTTAGATTTTGGGAAAAATGCTCAGTGTTTCTCACTTATTGAAACCGAATTTTCATATTGGTATCATTAATGGTGATCTTCAACACATATCATACATTGCCAACTACAGCGCATTCAATGTAAAATAATCTCGAATCCAACGTGGTTTAAATATAAAATAAACGTAAACTTATAATTTAATAAGGTCACTGGATAGATGAAAAACATGCATAACCCAACAATTTCAAACGAGTGGCCCGATCTATTCAACATAAGATTGATATAATCCAAAAACAACATTATCTCGTGGGAGCGTGTAAAACGTAAAACAATCCTTAATCCTACATCTTTTACATATAAAAATAAATATAAACTTATAACGACACTAAATCACCTGACTTGATAGATTAGCGTTTTGAAATGAAAACTTAAGGGGCCTAGCTTGTGATCCTGTTTGAAGATTAGCCAGATTTTAATTTAAGGGACGGATGATTAGGCAAAATTAAGGTTTTGTAGTTTAGCAAATTCCACATTTGAGAGAACTAATTTGTGTAATCTTCTTCTTATAAAACTTTGTGAATCAAAGGGTGAGAGAGGAAGGCTTGTAATCTTATTGATCATTTGTCATAATGAAATCAAGCTGAGAATGCTACAACAAGGATGAAAGCCATTTTTTATCCAAACTCAGTCAATTCTTCTTGTGTTATATTCAAGCCCAAATTAATAAATAAACATAACCAAAGTAACCAAGCTAAACCGTAATTAAAAAAAGGAAATAAATGTTCTCATGAATTGACAAAATAATAGTAAATTATAGTAACTTAATTATAGACCGTTGATGTGAAGAAATAATGTTTAAAATGCCGGTAGATTCTCGTTCCAAGTCCAATTTGCTAGCAACCAATATAAACGGCAAATCAAGCAATTTTTTTAATTCATTCTCTCTTCTTAAAACTAAAGAGAGAAGTACCATCAACAACTAACCTCAATAAAAATGACTTCGGTTGATTCTCTCTTAAAAGTTTGCTGGATACCATGTTACTAGACTACAAAATAAATAGCTACAAATTGTATTGCGGGAGATATATATATACATCCTTTTCAATATATTCAAATAAATAAATAGGTGGGGCTTTGGGAGAGAGTTTCTGGTCATGATCTCATCCTGATTAAAATCTTGGACTTTGGATTCACATCACATTGTCTAGAAGAAACATTCAAAGATGACATTATAACTTCTGATTAAATTGGACTAAATATGAATTACTGCTTAAAACTTCTGTTTAAAACTTCTTATTTACTGCTTTAGGCAGCATTGGGTTAACTAGCTATTACTCTGTTTAAAACTTGTTATTAGTTTGTTGCTATATGACACCTTGATACCCTGTCCACAACCAAAAGAATAATTAGGTTTCATTTAGGATCCGTTTAGTTTGCTGATTTGAATTTTTAATTCGAGTTGAAATGTAATTTTATGTGAGAGATTTTTACTGTAGCAGGTTAGATGTGACTATTTCTGATAGTTTTTTACTGTAACAAAACTCGAATTTTAAACTCGAGTCGGTGAAATGAACAAGACCTTAATTAAACCCGGATGAAAAACAAAGACTGATATGTACTTGTATATGATGAGGTCACTATATATATTTATATATATATATTTATATATATATATATATTATATACATATATGATAAAGTACATATATTTCTTATAATTAGCTCACCCACGTATGTATTATATATCATAAGACACGGTTTTCAAAAACTGAAAAAAGTGCATGCCAAAAAAAAACGTACTCATAAAGAAACAGGCATTAGTTGGGTTCTTATGCAGGCACAAAATATGATTATGGAGTGTTCTTGGGTTATATTCCTTGCGTTCATTGTCATGTCTTTTCTCCTGATCATGCCTCATCTTCGGAAGGGCACTTCCGGTCACCGTCGGCTTCCTCCGGGGCCACCGGGGTGGCCGGTATTCGGCAACACTTTCGATCTCGGACCAATGCCTCACAGGTCCTTAGCCCAGCTGAGACACAAATACGGCGACGTTTTGTGGCTGAAGCTCGGAGCCATCAACACCATGGTGATCCTCTCTTCCAAAGCCGCCGCCGAGTTCTTCAAGAACCACGACCTCTCTTTTGTGGAGCGCACCGTCACCGAAACCAGTCGAGTCTATGGCTACCACAAAGGCTCCGTAGCCCTAGCCAACTACGGCTCATATTGGCGCGTCATGCGGCGGCTTGTCACGGTCGAGATGTTGGTGAATAAGAGGATCAGAGAGACGGCTTTCTTGCGGCGAAAGTGCGTCGACGACATGTTGTTGTGGATCGAAGAGGAAGCGGGGAAGGCTAATTGTGGAGTTCATGTGGCGCGCTTTGTTTTCCTCATGACATTTAACCTTCTTGGAAACCTCATGCTTTCTAAAGACTTGTTTGGGCCGGATTCGGAGGAGGGATCGGAGTTTTTCGTGGCGATGGAGGGGATAATGGAGTGGGGAGGGCACGCAAACATGTCGGATATCTTCCCGTGGCTGCGGCGGCTGGATCCGCAGGGACTGAGGAGGAAGATGGAGAGGGATATGGGGAAGGCCATGAAAATAGCTTCTAAGTTTGTGAAGGAGCGCAAGAACAGTACTGATCAGCAATATGTGGAGAGAGAGAGGAAGAAGGATTTCTTGGACGTGTTACTTGAGTATGAAGGCAATGGGAATGATGAGCCTGCCAAAATTTCTGACGATGAACTCAACATCTTCATACTTGTAAGTAGTTTTTTTATTTATTTTTTATTTATTTTAAGTTAGACGCTACTCCATACTAACAAAAGTAATAATATTAAAAATAAATAAATGAAATTCTATAAAATTTATAGTAATACGAGACCTAAATAAGTTCCGCTTCAACTATTGTGGACATTCGTTATGATCCGCATGTTGTTAACGCCTTTAGTAATAGTTAAGCTCCACAATTTTTTTCGGACGTAATATATGTTAAGCTCCGCAACTTAACAATTTTAACAAGCGCATGTTTGTCATCACCAATTTTTAGGCTATATAACTAGCTCTCAGACCTATTTTAATATTCTCCTGCACTAATTTAATCTGAGTAATATAATTAGTTTAAGCTTAGCTAGCATTAATGCTACGAATGATTATTTACGTACAAGTATTGCTTTAATTATCTTCATAGAATATAGAGTTTCTCGTCGTAGTAGTATATTAATAAAATACGGTCAATAAAGAAAATGTTTAAATGCATCACCAGTGATAAGCACCACATACTAATAAAAGGTAAGTCTCATCTGTAAATTCTACACTGTAAGACTCACATTTTTCTATTAATATAGTGCTTAACACCACCGATACCTAATAGCAATGTTCTATAACACAACTTGCTGATGCAGGAAATATTTTTGGCGGGTTCAGAGACAACAAGCAGCACAATTGAATGGGCACTAACGGAACTAATACGCAGCCCCAAGGCAATGAACAAAGCCAAAACCGAGCTCACCCAAGTGGTGGGCCCAAATGGAAAGGTTGAAGAGAGTGACATAGAAAAACTCCCATACTTACAAGCCGTTATCAAAGAAACCCTAAGACTTCACCCACCAATTCCTTTCCTCGTCCCTCGACGAGCCAAAAACGACACCAATTTCATGGGTTACTTCATACCCAAAAACACACAGGTCTTTGTAAACGCTTGGGCCATTGGAAGAGACCCAGATGTTTGGGCTGACGAGCCCATGTGTTTCAAGCCCGAGAGGTTCATGGTGGGGCCCAATAGTAGTACGGACTACAAAGGGCAACACTTTGAGTTTATACCATTTGGAGCTGGGAGAAGAATGTGTGCGGGTGTACCACTGGCCCATAGAGTTCTTCACCTCGTTTTGGGGTCTTTGCTTCACCATTTTGACTGGGAACTTGATGCTAGTGTTGATGTAGAAACTATGGATATGAAGGATAGATTAGGGATAACAGTTCGGAAGTTTGAGCCATTACTTGCAATACCTACCAAGTGCATTTGAAGTACTACTGAATGAATCGAGGTCATTAATAAGACACGTACGCACCCATTATTATCAGTTGGAATTATTTGATATATATATATATATATATATAGTTTTTAATATATTGTATTGTCTTAGAACTTTAAATAATATAGTAGTTTCAAATATAGTCTAGTGATTTTTTTTCACATATGACTTCATCGCAAAATGTAGAGTTCAAATCCTTCAATTTCTAAATCCGAAAAAGAAAAAACAAAACTTGAGTAATATTAGATGGTATATTGTCAATGATTCGGGTCCTTTTTATTCTTTCATCCTTCTATTCCTCCTGCCAAACGAATCGGCTTATTGATGAGATTTAAATACTGTCCAAATTAAATTCATGATCTTGCTGCGTTTGAAGTAAAGATTCGTGTCATGATTCGGATCATAGTTCGTGACTCGTTACCGTGTTTTCTTTCACAAAAAACACACGTAAACCGAGAATAATTCTGAATCATAATTATCATATGTGCATTATAATACACTTATGATTATTCACTAAGCGATATATTTATCATTATTGTATTGGCACCGTATACCTTGCTGTGTGTATATGTCGTGGCAGATTACCCAAAAAAAAAAAAAAAAATATGCAAGTAGCTAGGGTTGTAAGAAATCACTCCGAATCTGACGAATCCGGCCGAGCCGGCCGACCTTAACCAAAAATCACGAGTTTTTAATTTTTTATTTAATTTTCAGTTTTAATTATGCCCAACCCGCATTGTGCTGGTAGGGGTGCGGAGTGGGGTACCATGAACTCGAGGTACCCCTACTCGGCCGAACATGTTGAAAAAGTAGGTAAAACAAAGTCTAACCTTAATGATAATAAGTTTAAAAATCTTTCGAACAGAATATAAAGGGTTGAGTCTTTAGATAATTCTTGTTGATTCTTAATTCTTGTTCAGGATGAGTCCGTCAAAATTGAGTCTTAGATGAGGTAAGTAACAAAAATAAGTTTAAAAAAGTGGTTTTTTTTATACAAAAAACTCATAGTTTACCCGAGGTAACCCGGCCAACCCGAGGTTACCCGAATAGTATATGGGTATCCTAATTCTACAAGCTGTTGCAGCCCAAATCATTTCCAACCTAAGACCTACAGGCCGCCCCAATTTTTCTTCAAAACTGACCCACCTCGGCCGACTTACAGGCCTACAAGTAGCACATAATAATTAATTGAGGACGTGAATCCCAAGAAGCTAGGGTCAAAGTGATTGATTCCTGTCTTATTCATATGTTATGTAGTATAAGTACTATAGAGTGGACTATGGAGTGGTCTTGGAAGGTTTCCCTTGTAATTTCCCTCATAATTTTCTTGTCACCGGCCATTCTCAACCTCCTCTCTCGCTGGCAAAAGAGCGTCGACACCGGCGGACTCCTTCTGGGCCCACTGGGATGGATGGTCTTCGGCAAGATGTTCGATCTTGGTGCAATGCCTCACCGGTCTTTAGCCGAGATGAGGCACAAATAAGGCAACGTTTTGTGGCTGAGACTCAGTGCCATCAACACTGTTAGGTAATTGCCTTAAATTGGTTTTGGAAAAGTAATTATTTTGTATTTTTTTTTGTTATTGTTTTCTGTTTTTGGGTAAGAGTTATTTTATAGCTCATAGGAGTCTATAACTAAGTGGTTCGTGTAAGGTTTTGTGTGCTTAGAGAGAAGTGCAGAGAAATAGTGTCTCCTTTTGAGAGAAAGAGAGAAAAGTGAGGAGAGAGATAAGCAAATGTTGCAAGGAATTTTGTGTAAAGAGAGAAAGTGAGAAAGGTTGTTGAGTGTATAATTTTGAAACTATTAGTGAATTTTCTCTCCCTCTCTTAAATCTGTCTTATTTACTTTTTTTGTTATTTTTTATTTCAGTTTATTTTTCTACTGCGTGGGTGTAGGGGTGTGTTTTTTCTCAACAACTGGTGTCAGAGATGTGGTGAAGATTAAAAAAAAGGGTCAAAATGATGTCCGGGATAAAGTTTGAGCACATTGAGTAGTTTGACAAAAGAGTTATTTCAGCATCTAACAGAGTATAGTGAAAGATGTTCTGATTCAACAATGACTACTAAAAGCACTGCAAGAAAAGAAGTCATAAAATATGAAAGATGAAGATTCGAAAGAATTAGAAGCGAGAGCGGTAAGCACTATTCGTTTAGGTTTGGCTCCTAAACTGAAATATTGTGTTATGAATTAAACATCTCCTTCTGAGTTATGGAAAAAATTATAAAAAGTTTATATGTCAAATCTCTAACAAATAGACTATATTTGAAGAAGCAATTGTATGAGTTGAAGATTGCTGAGGAAACTGATGTTAGGGATCATATAAATAATTTTAATAAGTGCATAATTTAGTTGTTAAGTGTAAAGGTCAAAATTGATGAGCATGATATAGCGGTAATTTTGTTAGTCTCCCTACCCAAAATATATGAGACTTTGGTGACCACACTGTTAGTTGGAAAGACGACATTGACTATAGATGAGGTGTCAACGCTCTGTTAGAGACTGCAAATATGAAGAAGTCTAGTGTTACGTCTCATACTGAACATGTTTTAGTGGCACAATCAGCTTTGAATATGGGTAGGAGCAAGTCACGAGGGAGATATTATGCTAAGAAAGATGACCATTCCCAATCCCGTCTAAGGAAGAATATTGAGTGCTACTACTGTCATAAGAAGGGGCATATTAGGAAAAACTGTGAAGAACTGACAAAGCACCTTGAAGAAAAGAGAAAGCAAGAAACCCAAGAGACTTTAGATTCTACAAACATTGTTGGTGACAGATATGACAGTGAAGATGCTGTTTATTCTATTATTGCTGATGAAAATATTTCTGACTCTTGGATCTTAAATTCTAGATGCTCATTTCATATGTGTCCACATAAAGAGTGGTTTAATTCTTATAAGCCCTGTGACACTGGTACTCTATTGATGGGTAATGATTTTAGTATTAAAGCAGTTGCAAAAGGTACTATAAATGTGAAGATATTCGACGGAGTTATGAGAAAATTGACAAATGTTAGCCAGGTATGTTCCTCAACTAAGGAGGAGTTTGATTTCTTTGTGGGTTTTGGACATTTTGGGTTGTCAGTATTATAAGGGAGGTTTTAAGCTCGTCAATAGAGGTGATTTGATAGCCATGAGGGTGTAAAAGTGAAAAACTTATATGAGCTTATTGGAACTACAGTTGTAGATAGAGCTATATAGGTGGAGCCAAGCCACGAAGAGTCTTCTTCTGTTGTGAAAGAAGTTGCAGGAGTAAAAGAATGCAATAAGATGATGACATAATGCAAGATGATAAAAATTTATGACCATGAAGATACTTCGAAGAAAAAAAAGAAATTGGTTCCTCGTGTCAAGTTTGATGAAAGTTTGAACTCGACACATGTTTATTCTTGTTGAAGTAGCAAATTGGTTTTGGGAAAGTAATTATTTTATATTTTTTAGGTAAGTCACTGTTTTCTATTTTTGGGCAATTGTTATTTTATGGCTCATAGGAGTTTATAAATAAGTGGTCGTGCAGGGTTTTGTGTGCTTAGAGAGAGAAGTACAGAAAAAGAGTGTCTCCTTTTGAGAGAAAGAGAGAAAAGTGAGGAGAGAGTAGGCAAATGATACAAGGGGTTTTGGGTAGAGAGAGAAAGTGAAAAAGTTTGCAAGAATGGGCCGGCCTGGTCCGGCCCGTTCTTTTTAGGCCCACGCAGGCAGTGGACCGGGCCGGGTTGGCCCACGAATTATGTACGTTGGGCTGGCCCATATACGAATTACCTCGGTCCAAGCCAGCCCACGGGCTAACTTTACGTGGGCCGTGCCGTGAGCTTTGAATAGGCTGGCCCATATTGGCCTATCATAGGTTTAGATGGGCTGGCCCATTCAAGGCCCATCTTGGCTCATCATGGGTTTAGATAAGCCAACCCATCTAAGCATGTAATTTTTAATTTTTTAATTTTTTAATTTTTTAATTTTTTAATTTTTTAATTTTTAAACAAGTTAACAAATATAAAATGTTTGAATAGTCAATGGGAATATGAAAAGATATATTTTATTTACGATTGCCTTATTAAAAACCTTTCTAAGGAAAACCCAGTAGGGCAAAACCTTAGTAAGGAAAAAAGAGTACTATCAGGATAATTATACATAAGATGTTTACAAAATTACTAAAACAAAGAAAAAAACATAAAAAATAGATATTGTTCATAATTACAATGTATTACTCCCAATGGGAGTATCAGAAATGTCTAAATTTTCAAAGTCATCAACCAAATCATCTTGAACTTGTTGGCTTCTTTTACGAGCGTCCTCCCAATCTTTGACGCACATTACTGCCTCCAGAATATCGTCACTTAAGCATGCACGCCGTTCATCAAGTACTCTACCACTGCAACTAAATACTTGTTCACTTGCAACTGTGGACACTGGTATGGTTAGTATATCACGTGCCATTCTAAAGAGCACAGGAAAAGTTCTTGACTGTGATCTCCAAAATGACAAAATATCAAACTTATTGAAATCATGACCACTACCTTGCTCATTGAAAATGAATGTCGCAAAATTTGTTTCCAAATAGTTTTCCAATTCACTACGTGCTGAAGATGTGGATGACGCACCGAAACCAAATCCGGTGTAGCTAATCAGAGTTTCCCATGAAGAACCATGTGGTACAGATTTAGTACTCGCTAAAGGTGTAGGGGGCATTGTTTGGCCTCTTCCATATTTTTCATTATATGCAGTAAATAAAGTGTTAACTTTTACTTGCACATTTTGAATGGTTATAATATCAGAATGCACCTTCAGTTTTTCCCTTATACCCTTAAGTAAATATTCAACACCAGCTAATTTAACTTTTGGATCCAATACAGCGGCTACGCAATACAAAGGTGGAACACGCTCCTAATATTTTTTAAATTTTTGTTCCATGAACTCAACAGATTCCTTAAACATGTCAAAATCTCTATGCATATTGAAGGTTGCAGTAATGCCGTACAATTTATGTAATGCATG